TGTATTTTAGACATCAAATAACCAAATTTCAATAAACTCAGAACAATTACAGCTAGGATCCCACGGCAGAAGTTAAAAGGAAAAGGAGCTTCAGGTGGGTGGGAGGTACTAAAGAAGATACTAAAAAGACAACTGCAAGCCATTCTAATGAGGAGAAAAAAAATGGTTTCTTGAGGAGGGGATGCACCAGTGCCTCTTTAAAGGCAGCCAGAAACACTCCCTCTCTTAAGGATAAATTCACCATTGGCAGGACCCACCCACATGTCACCTCCTGAGCTGCCTTAACTAGCCAGGAGGGACATGGATCTAATTGACAAGTGGTGGCATTTACAGACTGGAGGACCCTGTCCACATCCTCAGGCCGAACAGGATCAAACTGTTCCCAGATAACAGGGTAAGCATGATCCCCAGGCATTTACACAGACCATGCCTCACGCTTGGCATCCAACTGGGAACGGATCCAAGCAATTTTATCCTCCAGATGCCCAGAAACTCCTCAACACAGCCCAGCGGCCCACCTTTCCCAAAAGAGATCAGGTGATCTTAAACAGGGCTGCCAGGCAGCACTTTGCAGATGCAATAAGAGCGGAGAAATATTGGCATTTTGCTGCTTCTGCTGCCACAAGGTAGGCCTTAATAGCAGCTCTAGCCTGTGTTTGGTTGGGTTTGGTCCCTGTTTTCCTCCAGTGGCACTCTAGACATCTCTTAATCATTTTCAGGACCCTCAACTCCTCTGTAAACCATAGGGAGTATTGGGCTCGATGGGTCAAGAGAGGCTGCATGGGTGCAATTTTGTCCAAGGCCCCGGCCGCCTTCCTATTCCAGGTGGTGGCCAGGGCCCCCGCTGGACCATGCAGCAGATCCTCAGGTATAACCCTCAGCTCCCTTTTGGAACCCCACTGGGTCCATCAGTGGCCAGGGCGGACCAATCAAATGGGTCTCACCTCCCTGCGGAGGGGGATAGCATAGGAGAATCTCAAGGCCACCAGGACGTGATCTGGCCATGACAAGGGGGACAACTGTAACTCCCCCTTCAGATCATATTGCCACTGCTCTGACAAGAAAACCAAGTCCAGTGTGAAGCCACTGTCCCAAGTCAGGTCACGAATAATCTGAGACAGGCCTATGGCCACCATGATGACCACGAACTCTCGAGTAGCCTCTGAGGCACGTCCCAGGAACAGAAGATTGAAGTCCCCCAGAATCATAAGTCTGGGGAACTCCACTGCCAACCCTGAGACAGCCTCCAGCAACTCAGGCAGGGAGGTTGCTACGCAGCACGGAGGCTGGTACAGTAGCAACAATCCCAACTGTTCTCGAGAACCCAACTTCAGGAACAGGGTCTCACAACTGGCCACTTGTGAAGCAGCGCCCCTGAAGGCCAAAAGAGATTCCCGGATGACAATGGCTACCCCTCCTCCCCTGCCCTGGGGTCTCGGCTGGTGCCATACTGTAAACTTTTGCCTTACAAATGGATGAATCTACAGGTGTGACTGGATTTGCTGTTCTGTTTGTATTTATCCCGCATCAGCACCAACTAATAAGTATGTCCTTTTATGTGAATGCTTGGCAACAAACACAAGTGGTGCTGAAATATTCAAAGTGTAGAATAACTTTTTTGAATTCCCTGATTTATCCTGGAACAACTGTGTTGACATTTGTACTGATGGTGCAAGACCAATGGTGGGTAATACTGCTGGTGCCTTAGCACAAATCAAGGCAGTGGCACCAAACTGTACTAGTAGTCATTGCATTATTCACCGCCACACACTCAAACTAAAAAACAAGCAAACAAATCAGTTTCATTTAAGAATATCCTTGCAGTAAAAATTATTAATTTTATTAAATCTCGATCCTTAAGTACACATCTTTTTAATATTCTGTGGGACAAAATGGGAATTATGCATAAAGCACCTCTGCTGCTTTATGAAAGCATGATGGTTGTCTCAAGGAAAAGCACTGGTGTGATTGTCTGAATTGCAGACTGAACTAGCTGATTTTTTCATGGAACACAGTTTTTATTTGAAAGAACAACTGACAAATTATGGTTATTCAGACTTCAGTATCTGGCAGGCATTTTCTCAAAAGTTATTTTTCATAATAATAAAATATGTATTATTTATGTTAACATGTAATGGGTTTATTATTGTTATTTTTAAACGAATAAACAAACATTTATAAAATTCTCAGTTTTAATTTCTAATACAATAAACATTGATAGATATAACCCACATAAACAAAAGCTCTTTGGGGTCTTCCCTAATTTTTAAGAAAGTAAAGGGGCCTTGAAACCAAAATATTAAAGAACTGTTGAACTAGCTGATGATCTTGCAGAACCCTTATTTACTATCTCTGAGGAACCCTATAGAGAACTGAAGTGCTAGGAGAATAAG